CTCTATATTGAATACATGTCATATTGTTAGGAAATTCCTGAATACAGACACACAATGACATGCTTATTTAATTTTTTTTTTTTTTTTCTTGAAGTTACTATGTCTTGACTCTGGTCTAGCATAGTACACAACCATCGCTATCCACCTAGTGTAACTCAACTCAACATAATTGAGTTTTGTGGTTTATGGCATTACAAAATTCTATTAATAGTATCATATCATACATTATTGAGAGGAATAACATTTTGGTGTGCTGTGTTGAGTCATGTCTAGTCATAGGTGTGCCGCGAGTAGAAAAAGGTTGCGGAACACTGATATAGTATATAGTGCTTGTAGCAGAATTTAGAATATTAAATAATAATTAAGAATGAAATTAGTAGATAGCATATATATATGCTAATACTTTTTTATAGATAATAATATATATCTTAAATCAGGGAAATCAATTTTTAGTTTTTGTGTGCATCTTATTTACAGATTAAGAGCATATAAGAGGGCATTTACAGCTTAAAATGTTGCCATACTAAAACATTACTAGAAACATTTGGCATTGAAACCTAAAAATTGACTCTTTTAACTGCACTTAGATTTAGATTGCAGTTTTTACTCTACAGTGAAAGGTACTTTTCTGACTTAATGTACCTTTTCATACATTGCATCATATCTGTGTATATTATATTATATTAACAGAATAATAATATAATTTTACTACCACCCAATATTTCTGATATAAATTTTTCATATGAATGATATAAAATATTAATCAAAATTATCACCTTTTTTATAAATTCCAGCAAATAATTTAATAATATAAAAACGTTTTCGATCGTCTTTAGCGATCTTCATCAGTTGAAAGAACATTAAAAATAGAACAAAAATTAAATTTACGAAAAAATAATAACTGCGCATGCATATTTATTTACTTTTAGTCTTATATCCCTAACTTTTTGTATTTATTCCGTTAAGCACTCATCATTATGCATGCGCAGTTATTATTTTTTCGTAAATTTAATTTTTGTTCTATTTTTAATGTTCTTTCAACTGATGAAGATCGCTAAAGACGATCGAAAACGTTTTTATAATATTAAATTATTTGCTGGAATTTATAAAAACGGTGATAATTTTGATTAATTCTTTCTAGTTCCAGTATAAGGTATTATTTTTACATTTTTACATTATTTTTACATCTCCTTTATAATAAATGAATTTATCTAAGTAAAAATTGAAAGTGTTTGTAGAAGTCATTTTTTAAAATATCCTTTTTCGGGATAAAGTTTTAATACTTATTACTATAGACATGTTAATCCTTAAATATACAAGTATATTTAAGGATTGGGCCACAAGTATATACAAGATACTTGTGGCCCAAAACTCCACGAATTCTTCCAATGTGGCCCAGAGAAACAAAAAGATTGGACACTCCTCCTGGTCTAAAGGTTATCTACATTAGAACTGGAGCTTATCATCCATGCTGTTTCTTTATTAATTGACAGAATAAATTTTAACCGCCCAAATTTAGCTGATTAATATGTCTTAAACCTTAACCTTAAAGATCTATGTTCGTGCATTGTGTTGAGTGTAGTTCTAAAGATTAAAACTTGGACAACTGACCCTTAGGTTTGTTTTTTGCCTCATTAATAAAATTAGTTTATGTAAAGAACTAATCAAATTTGGTAGATTATGATTGGGTATTGATTGACTTTTTTCTGTGTTAAAGGACAGCAGATTTATCAGTCAAATACTTTTACTCTAGCACTATTAGTATACAATCTCCCAGTGATTAGATGTGTCTAGATAGATAATGATAAAATACCACCTTAGAATTTGTATAAAATAGAGTAACTGTGATATGTCATTAGTATGAAGTATAAGATAGGTATTATATGATAAACTTGTTTTTCAATTGACAAATAACAACATAATGTCACAATAACTTTAAATGTGATGTTTGATCTTATATCACTTAATTTACAAACAGAATTTTAACATGACACAATTCACAAAACTAAGTGAAAGTTCTTTTTTTTTATGATGGAAAACTTATGTTAGTATTTTTTCTTTTCACACTAGGACTCATCGATTACAACTTCCACTGTTTCCGGGAAGCGATCAGGGAAGTGTTTGAAGTACGATTCAAGGGAAAGAAACCGATGCCTCAATTCTACAACTCTCTGGATAGTGCCCAAAGTAACGGCTACTTGGAGCAGCCGTAGATCAATAGCGGAGATTGGCAGATCGGCCGGTCTACTTCAAATCTTTTCCAATAATTGGAAGTGATAAATGATACTAAATGTGGTAAAATACGTAAGGAAGTCGGTTTTGTGCCGAACATTGATTTTTGTAGAACTGGTTTTATATAAAACGGAAGGGATGTCGACAGACAGTACAATTTGTGTCTAAGTTAATTTATGGTAAAGCCACCCGACGACGAAGTATTATCATACTGCTATGTACGACCATTGCATTGCGGTAAGCCACATTGCCACGTGCTCTGTTGTTATTTTAATGCGGTACACTAATTCAATCATTGGCAATTTAATAATGTAAAGCCATCTGGATATATTCCATTGTAATTATTTGTTGATGACAGGCATCATCCGAAGCAAATTGATTATTGAGATAATTGCAAACAAAAGTTTGTTAGATAATTGAAAAATTATTCAAAGTGGATTTCTTTGGTAAATTATTTCAATAATAATTATTTGCTGTTTATTGATTTGTTTTATTGGTTTTTTATTTCAGAATTAAATTTTGATAAGAATAATATAAAAAGTATCTATCTAAACATATATATAAAGACATGGTAGCCCAAAAAATAGTTAACCATATCTTGCTCTAGGCGCACTAGTGAATATAAACCATACGCCTAGGGTTTCTCATTTCCCGGTCTTTTGCTTGTCCCGGGATTCCGGGATAAAAGTGAACTGGATCTCGGGATAGAATTAATTATTTTTAAGATATACAAAATATCATGAATCAAATGATATAATTATTTTTTGTTTTTAAAAGTAATTTAATACATTCTGCAACCTCCCAAATCATATTAATAATGCTGTTTAAGATATATATTAAAAATTACCTTTTGAATTACATAGAAATTTTCGCAAATAGAAAATAATTTATTGAAGTTTGCTGGAAACTGCATACAACAACAAAAAAAAAGTGCTTTGAATTTAGTTGTTAATTTTTTTTAAATTTCTTAGATCAAACTTCTATGTTAATTTTCATTTTTTAAATAAAACATATTATAAAAATTNGTAGAAATTTTCACAAATAGAAAAAATTTATTAAAGTTTGCTGAAAACTTCATACAACAACAACAAAAATGCTTTGAACCAAGTTGAAAATTTAAAAAAATGAACTTATATCAAACTTCTAACTTAAAAGGTAATTTTCATTTTTTAAATAAAACATATTATAAAAATTTACAATAATATTTTGTATTAAGATTTTAAAAAGCAAAGATGGTCAATACTCCAACCACTCAATTTGATTTCTTATTTTAGTAATGAAAAATCCTGTTACCGAGAATGCCCTTTCTGATTCAATTGATGTGAGTGTAATTCTGTATTTTCTTAAATGCATTAAACACATGTTATGTGTTTTTTTGCCTGTAGCCTGGAAGATTCCTAGTTTGTTTTCGAGATCGTAGTACTTTTGCTCTCTAATATTCTTGATTTAGTCTACCTCGGCTGCTTTAATTGAAACATCCAAGCTTGTAGCCCAATAATTCGGCAGTTCGTTTGTCTTTAATAATGTGGTCTGCAAGTATGAAGAGAAACTTCATACTTGCAGACTTCGTACTCGTTCGTTTGTATCTTTGCCCAATTTGCGCAACCAGTTATCGAAGCTACTGGGCATGGTGTAATGCAGTTATCGAAGCTACTGGGCATGGTTAAACATTAAGACAGCGTAAGTACAATTATTCCAGATATTACAGATTCTGACAAGTAAAGAATTTTCAGTCCTGCCACAAATAAGCTACGTATTGATTATTGACCATTTGTGACATGCCATAACAAGCAAAAATTTAAAAAACTAATAATTAGGTTTAAAATTAATAAATTCAAATGTATTCTGACCGTTTGAGTTAATTATACTTTATTTGCAAAATTTCCTCAACCTTAACACAAAATAAGAAAAAAGTGAATTTTTAAGAAATTTGCAGGATTTCCTGGGATTCCGTTTGAGAAACCCTACATACACCGACTTTAGAATGTTTCTTTAATAGACTCCAATTTTTTAAGAAGACAGCAATGCAGCCATTTTATTGGCTACTTGACATCTAGGCCATCTTTTTTCTGAATAATTTGGGGATGTATTCTGATTTGCTTTTCATACATTCTGGAAGAGAATTGAGACTATCGGACACAGAGAACAATAGGAATGATGAATATAAAAACAAGAAGCTATGGAAACAACCATAGTCTTAAAGTAATTTTGGTAATACACATCAATTCATTCTTAAACAAGATTCTTTAACATAGACTGTATTTTTACAAGTATAGTAAGACTTCTTATAGTAAGTCCAAAGTGTTAGAATGGTAGGTGTCATTGCTAATGTGCATCTAAACTTTTAGCAGTGTCGCATCTTTCGTTATGTTGTATGCTTGATAAAATTATTTTAATGATAGCTGCAATAATTTTATTTACACAATTGGTCCCATTAAATGGGTTAAGTTGTTCCAGAACCAAATTATAATTACATTTGTACATTAAACAGAAATTATTTGTGATGTCAACTTGGCACATTTTTTTCTTTCATCTCACCTTCGAGGTACTCCTGCAATTTTGCTAGAATTCCTGAGAAAAAAAAATTAAGCCAATTAATATGATTGTTGTTGCAAGAAATTTGCATTATAGAACACAGTTACGTTGATTACAAGAAATGTAAAGTACATATTTTGTATGAGTTCAAGGACACTACTTACCATCTCTTTTGGAAGATGTAATTTTCTCCCAGTTTTCCGTAAAGGAATCACCCGCCGTCTTGTTCCAACGCTCATCAATAGAAGATTTAGACAACAATATCTAAGAAACTATTAAGTAGCATATTCATATTGTAGAAACTTAAGGAACTTTGGAATTTCTTGTACGGTAACGTACCAACCTTAATAACAGAAGACTATAAACTAATTTGTTGTCAAAAAACATTGTATTTGCATACAAGATGCAATGACAGCCATTTTTCTCTTATGACATGGTTATCAGGACAATCTGCTAGTGGATCTAGCTACAAATTAGCAGATTTTTAATGCCACTGTTTGCTGTTTTTTAAAAACTACAGATTCGAGAATACTAAAGGATACTCGTTCCACGCAGAATTGCGGAAGTCTTCGTGTGTCTCGCATTTCGAAGAAAGAGGTCCTCGTCTGCGTTGTGTGACACGCCTCCGGATCCCTTCGCATCCTTCTCACGCATTCGTCTATTTTCTTTGTTTATTTCCACATAAATATCGCGTAACTTTTCTCTGGAACATACAAAAAACTTTATATTAATGCAAAATTTGCCGACCTACTACATGCACACACTAAAGTATGTTTCCTGTACAAAAAATAATAGGTTATCTGCTTCCATATTTCGAAACCGTGTTGTATCTTTATTTTTTAAACCGCAGTTTAGCGTGATAACCAACACTTGGCACAAAAACTGAAATAAAAGAATGTTGTGCCAAGTGTTGGTTATTACGCTAAACTGCGGTTTAAAAAATAAATAGGTTATCTAATTTCCATTTCAGTTTCTTACTGGATTATCTCAATTTTCTTATGTAGAAGGCATTAATCCTTGTTTCCTAGATTGTAAGTTCAAATCCTATTTTGTGTATTTGAATGTTGTTTGATTGGGAAAGTGCAGTTTGATCTGAACAGTAAAACTGCACTTGTGGCAATGTTACTGTTGTAACCGCAACGTGTGATCTGCCAAGGAGGAGTACCTCCCCGGAGGATATTCTTTGGGAAACTATCCCGTAGTTAGGTACTAGACACAAACTGCAATCGATTATCAGTATTGAGCGGTTTAGTTCACTCGGCTACCAGTAGGTCGCTTTTTGGATCAACGTACGTGGTATTAAATATGTGCAAAACAGTGAGAGTGCAATAATCGCAATCTTTCAAGTAACATACTTCTTTCTCTCTCGATATTATTGTAGAAAGTTCCTTTTAAGTCTGCTTCGAGGCTCAGAAGCTCGTCCGACAAAGGCTCTCCTTTTATTTTTACATCATTTGTCAGTTTATATCTCCGGCTCAAAGTGACGACATACTCTACGGACATTTCCTTTCTCGTAGCTTTCCACTCTTGTTCGTTTTGCGATAAATTGACGAAAGCATCTCGTAATTGCTTCTCCATTTCTGACCTACAAAAAACAAACGAGCGGAAAGCAAATGAATTTTTGCACGTCTACTCTGAACGAACGTTTAAACACACGACATTTTCTCGGCCCATGTTAAGTGCAGGTTCACAGGCACTAATTTACGAATGGAAGTTGAGAGAGCAGCTGTAAAATGTTCATTCTGGAAGTGTCCCAAAATTGCTTTCTGTACGGATAAGCAGTGGCGTGCCTTGACATTTGACCATAGGAAAGCCGCGTTTCCGTAAGAAGCCGACATCCAGGGGCAATCGGTCAATCGCGCGTCGGCGACGATCTAGGGTCCATTCGTATGGTTTATTCGATAAGCCAGTAAAACCGTAGACTTCTCTAAAGGCATTTTTAATATCATAATTACATTCCGAATCGCTAACCACGATATAAGGCTACAATTAAAAATAAAGTAATAAAAACTTACTCGGTGAAATAAAACGTGCGGTGGACGTACCGGTACATACCCGGTACAAAATATTCTTCAATTGTACGAATATACTTTTAAAGAAAATTATAATTTAAATACAGCTTTGTAAAGAAACGTACATAAAAATATAAAATATTCTTTACTTTTTAAATCTTAAAACAATGCGCTTAGTCAAATAGCTCCCTACCAGTGGCTAATGGATGGAATTGAAGACGGTTGCGGAGCGTGCATACACGCGGACTGCCAAATCCCCGGGACGCCGAGACCGGTCGATGTCAAATACCTCTTTCGTCGCATCATTAGTATATATCAAAGGACGCGACGGGGTTGTCGTAGATTTTAAACGTTTCTCGCCATAGCTTTAAAAATCTAAATACGTTAAACTTAATTGTTGTTTGTTTTCTAATTCGTTTTAGGACCGGGTGTCGTCCACGGAAATTTCTAAAATTTACAACTTTTCGGTCACTCTCGTCGAACTGAAAAAATTTCTGTCTTTATTACATCTAATACAGTATTTCGAAGAAATCGGTCCCCACTGTACTCGGCTATAGATTGGTTCGGTTAAGCTTTTGTTTAAGGAAAAAAGTTCATTAATTAAATTTAGTGGTAAATGATGCTGTCCAAGTAACAGTTAATTTTTTTTAATACAAGAATTGTACACGTTTTTTTCTACGTCCCCTTACAGATGGGACGTACGAAATCGTAATATCACCGGTTTAACGTCGAAATCCGCGAGTAATATAAAATCGGAGAACGGAATAAATATATCAAATATTTTAATGGATTTTTTTGAACTGTCAACTATATAGAACTATGGTAAAAACGTATCAGTAAATTTTTATTGGTCGGGTTATAAATCTACTCGCGATTCGCGTAATCGGGCGAGGGCGGGCGGGCGGTTAACGGCCCGGAGCCGGTCCCGGATAAAATTGGATGCATTATAAGTGTAGCGTCCACCCGAGGTCCTAGGCTTCTGCCGGCTAAACCGAGCCAGGTCGGTGCTCCGTAAAGCGCGTGCGCGAATCTGGCTTTTTGGAATCTGACGATACAGAGGTATGGTCAGATTCCACTCCGCCACCAATATTCGAATATACGATAGCGATCTTATATTTTTTTTTTTCGCGCGTAGTATAGAAATTTGTAATAAGATACGTAATGCGNATTCTTGCATTCTGTGAAAACGGGTAAGATTAGCTATAACGTAATTATCTTAATCTTCACTATCGTTACTTTTTGCCCAGCGAAGCGGGTCCTTGCAGCTAGATTCTAGATTACTTAGAAAAACAGTCTTTTATATATATATAAAAACTATATTACATAAAAATAAAAACTCAGCGAAGCGGGACCTTGCAGCTAGTAAATAAATAAAAATAAAGAGCTCAACAGTTTCTCATTAAAAATTAATGTTTCGTAAAAATTACAGGTTATCTTCATAGAATGATTTTCATGCTGTGGATAGAGAGTGGGCATTCCTATGATTGATACATCGTTACATCGTTAGTGAAAGGGGGTGAAGCCCGTGCTACTCGGCGGTATTGCACGGGAGGAAGAACAAAGGGAAAGGATGAGGAGAGAGTAGGAGGTAAGGGGAAGTGTAAAGTAGATAGGAAAGTTGGTGAAGGGAGTCATGAGCGCCTGGCGCCGCAATTATTTAAAATAAAACAGACATACAAAAGACGTAAATACATAAGATTACAGAGCGTACATAGTTGATGAACATGCCGAACAGGCCGCTGGCGCTAGTAGAGAAAGAGCCTAGTGCTGAGAGTCGGTTACTGTTGAGGATGTTTGCCTGCTGGAAAATTGGCGGGTTGTCCACAACCCTTGCAGCTGGGGGATGCTCCCCGCAAAGTTCTTAAAGTCCGCAAAGAGTCTTTTATTCTCGATAAANGGAAATTTCCAAAATTTACAACTTTTCGGTCACTCTCGTCGAACTGAAAAAATTTCTGTCTTTATTACATCTAATACAGTATTTCGAAGAAATCGGTCCCCACTGTACTCGGCTATAGATTGGTTCGGTTAAGCTTTTGTTTAAGGAAAAAAGTTCATTAATTAAATTTAGTGGTAAATGATGCTGTCCAAGTAACAGTTAATTTTTTTTAATACAAGAATTGTACACGTTTTTTTCTACGTCCCCTTACAGATGGGACGTACGAAATCGTAATATCACCGGTTTAACGTCGAAATCCGCGAGTAATATAAAATCGGAGAACGGAATAAATATATCAAATATTTTAATGGATTTTTTTGAACTGTCAACTATATAGAACTATGGTAAAAACGTATCAGTAAATTTTTATTGGTCGGGTTATAAATCTACTCGCGATTCGCGTAATCGGGCGAGGGCGGGCGGGCGGTTAACGGCCCGGAGCCGGTCCCGGATAAAATTGGATGCATTATAAGTGTAGCGTCCACCCGAGGTCCTAGGCTTCTGCCGGCTAAACCGAGCCAGGTCGGTGCTCCGTAAAGCGCGTGCGCGAATCTGGCTTTTTGGAATCTGACGATACAGAGGTATGGTCAGATTCCACTCCGCCACCAATATTCGAATATACGATAGCGATCTTATATTTTTTTTTTTCGCGCGTAGTATAGAAATTTGTAATAAGATACGTAATGCGATTATAATAAAATATTGCGCGATTAATTTTATATAATTAAAATTAATATGTATTTATTTTTTTTAAAATACGAGGGAAGCGGCGCATCCACCGCTTCCGATGACGGCACGCCACTGCTAAATTATAAAAGATATATCCTTTTATATCTACCAGAGGCCTATAGGAGACTGGAACTTTATGGGTTTTGACTCTGTAAGAGAACTTTGGTGTTCTGTTTTCACTATTGAGAATAAAATGTTTTTCTCTTTGGTTAATAAGATTTTGTTTCTCAAGTTTAACAAAAACGTACTTATTGAACGGTTATAGCAAGCGCGTGATCGGTAACTGGCTTAATAATAAATATGTTAATGCGCGCAAACAACTAATTGACAACACTGCTTATAAATTTTTTTAAAAATTCCTTACGTTATGAATATCTTTGAAAGAATTAAAAGAAAATTCAGTATAATAATATTTTGTTACCGAACATCGCGACAGTTTACATAAGAAAATAAACGTACCTAACAGAAAAGCTAACACATGGGACCAAAAAACGTTGTTTACAAATTCGAATGCGACCGTACCACACCCAAATCTTACATCGGTGGAACTAGTAGGGAATTAAAGGTCCGTTTCAATGAACGTATCTCTGCCATAGCGTGCGACAATGATAGCTCGGCTGTAGCCGCCCACTGTAATAATGAAGCTGTCAGATTGTAAAGGATACTGTCAAAATACTTAAAAAGGAAAAACAATACTTATAAAAGAAGATGGTACGAACACTTAGAAATAATTAAAAAAAAACAAAGAGGAAATCATGAATGATCGTGATACGCATATTTGACCAGAGGAGGCGTGGGGGGAGGGGGGAGGTATGAAAACGGATAGGGGTGAGGGTGACAGTTACCATGGAATGTACTTCGAATCGTCTCGTTACTCTGTTCGTGTTACAGTAAATCTACTTATCATTTTGTTTTAACAATGTATATTTTTACGACATTACTGTTTTACCAGAACCTCGGTTTATTATTATGTTGTTGTATCAACATCAGCGTTTTTTTAATGGAAACTTTTTTGTTTTATCGCATGCTTAGTCTTTTAATTAATGTTCAACGCATCGAATCCGCGTGTCAAATGTAAGTCCACATTCTTTGTTTATTTCTGTCAATCGCGGTCTTTTTATAAAAATTGTTAACCTCCGATTAATTTTGTAGCAAAAAGCTGACGAGGGACTACGTATCCGAAATGCATTCTGAAAATAAAATAGTGCTTTTCTAAATGTAATTTGATGTTCTGTGGTGGTGTAATAAGTCTAGCGGTAAAGTAAAGCCAATCTTAGTGGTCGGAAGCCATTTAGAAGACTAGACCAGAAGCGTATCATAGTATTTATTTAACTCATCACTTATATGAGATTCTTTCTCGTCCATCTTTATTAGCTTAAAACTTTCTAGAAGAACTTGATTTTTGTATAAAGCTTTTGTTTTATCAATTTTGGTCTGGTTATAAAAAGTGACGGAAGAGTCATAAGGTAACTTATATAATGCTCTTGTAAAGTTATCTATATATATAACCCATTCAACGTGTGTCTGTCCGCGTAACCGTTTGATAACGGACACTACAGGCGCCCTATCGTGTGTCATATTTCAAACATTCAAATTAACAATTTTAATTATTATTTAAATTAACAATATAATTTATTATTATTCACTTGGCCCATAAATTATTATTTGGTCAATATAATAATATAAATAATTCAATATATTTGTAATATGAATTTATTATTTCAGGGGCTTATATCTCGCGAAGGGTCGCGAGTAGGGGTATGGTTCCTTTGACTTTATTGTTCGCACAGGGGCTACAATTTGGGGGGGTCGCCACCTTTTCATTCGGAGGGTAAATCTTACCATTGGGACTTTAACAGAGCTGTACAGCATATTGATAGGAACAAGAAAGTCAAAGGAACCGTGCCTTATGGAAATTTGTAAATAACGCCCACTAGGGGGCGTCCCAGGCTACTAGTTTTGTATAACTCGCAACCTATTCGATACAAAAGAAGCTGTACCCCATACGGAAATACCGTATCAAAATTTGGGTTCCACGCGAGCGCAAAACAGTCTCAAAATAAAAAAACAACTCATTATTCTTTTCGGTATTCCAATAAATCTAGATAAAGACGGTGTTAAATGATTATTCCATCGTGATTTATCACCAATTTCGATACCTAAATATTTCGCACTATTAACTCTACGAATACGTTCATTATTTATTCTAACTTTTATATCTTTTAAATTAACTATTTGTTTTTATTTGATAAACAAATATATTTTGTTTTATTTTCAATTACACTTAAGTTATTATTTTCCATGTAACAGTACTTACTTAATTTAGACAGCAAAGAGTTTATATTATTTTCAACCAATTGAAGATTCCAATCCGCGTATGTTATAACAATATCATCCGCATACAATATAATAATATTGTCGGGAATAGTCTCTACAATATCATTTATATATATATCATTGTCACGAAGAAAAACAATCTTCTTACTGAGCTTGCCACGCCTTTTGTTTTCGATGAGGAAATCGTAAATCGTCTGTTTTATCGAACTTTCTGCACCAAGTCTTCACTAATGACGCTCCTCGGCACGGCCATCTTAAAATGCTCTAACTCATTACGAGCAATGTTACGGTAAGGAAATGTTTTTTTCGATACATCTCGCTAATCTGCCGATGAATGTCTTTTGCATTAAGAAAACGAATCACAATCGGCGGGATTTTCAATTGTGCCAGGCATTCGAAACACACATAAAGGTAAAACGAACGAATGCTACCGTAATGGACTCGGCGCGCATTGGCAGAACCGCAGCGGCCTATTTTAAGACGGTACTTAAAAACCATGCCCGGTGTAATTAGGCGGAATTAGGAGTTGCCGAGATACTTTTGTAAATTAATAAAAAAAGTTACTAAAGGTATAACTGAGTATTTAGTAATGAATTACGATTCAAACGAAATACATTTTCAATCCTTTATTATAAAATTTGCAATTAACTTTATTCTTATTAATTGATAATTAAATATGTATTAAATACACGTAATATAAATTTTTATAGTAAACTTATTTGGAATCGAATGGTCCTGGAAATAGTTTGGCTGCTGTTATGTAAATAAAGTTAATTTTACTGTTGCCAGCCTTATCGATAAATGTAATTAATCCGCGAAACATGCAAATTTCTTGCCAGGCGTGTGGATTGTTGGTAGAAGACGAGAAAATGCTTGGCTTAGTTGTGTTCGTATCGGAAGTTGTTTATTTTGCCTGTTGCAAACTTGGCATTTGTGCATGTTCCGACGAAAAGACAGGTAATTATAGTTATGTCTTATTTATTAAATTAAAAATTATTTTAAAATTTAAATTGGTAAATATACTTGAATATTTTCTTATAACGCTTAAAGATTCATATAGGATGCGTTTAGTTTCTCACATCACGACTTACTCTTCGTTAATTTTCAATTTCTTAAGTCCATTCGAGCTTACCCGTAGCTTTTTTCGTGTTTATAATATTTCCTATCCTAACAAATAAATATTTATTAGGAAGAAACTGCCATTTTAAAAACGAGCAAAGTATTATGTTACGTCAACCTATTAAATTAAGTTGATTTAACAATGGAAATTTAAAATTGCATGACAATTGGCGTGTTTCCCGACGATACTTTAATATAATTGGCTTTCTTATCTAGCTAAGCTGCTTATTAAGTCGAGTAAAGATACTAGCGTAGTAAACTATACTCGATTTTAAAATAAATTTCGATTTATAAATGGCAATTTTGTGTCTTTTTAGGGGTTTCGAGCAAACTTCTTACTGAGAAGAATCGAGAAGAATCGGCTGAATTATCATCGGACCAAGCCAGACCCTGTTCGGTATGGGAAGTTACGCGTTTTGGTAAGAAAAGAAAGACCAGCATAAACGAAAATGACTCTTTATTGGAAAGAGCCGGCCAGGAAATAATAGCGATGAAACGTTGTTTACGAGATATTTCGAAACAACACGAAGAAATGGAAAATATATTAAAAGAGGGCGATAGCAAATTGGTAACAATGCGTCAACAACTGGTTGTTTTGCATCGTCGGAATGCGTTAGCTGATACGGCATCGAAAAGCTGAAAAAATGCTTTTATACAATATATTCTTGGATCGAAAAGCCTTCGGCGTGCTGTTCGAAATGTAAAGCCTATGGAAATAGTTTAAATTCGGTATTATAATATTTTAAAAATCTGCGAAAACATTAAAATTGAAAATTCTGGATGGCAATGTATGGAAAGTTAATGTAATATTTTAACAATAATTTTAATAATAAGTTCATCGTAAATCTTATGCGGACTAATTACGGTTCAGTATTTTGGCAAAATAGTAGGAAATTGCCGTATACCGAGTTTAAGAATAACAGTTATAATTACACGTTTTTTCAGGTTTGTAGTAACTTTCTATTTAACTATGAACGTACTGTACTATACCTTAATCACCTGTCGCGTTTTGTGGTTTATTTTGACGTGAAGTGACCTCTGACATTTATCGTTGCGACTTAAAAATTGATTTACATTGCGCGTAACAAAACAAAAACTTTTTAATAAACGTAACTTTTCAATCTACAAAATAAAATGTCGGAACTTACACTATTTAGTAATATTTAATAATCGAATAAAATTAATTTTCGTTTTAATTACATTCTTATGTCACTTTTTACAATCAAAATGCAGAAGTACCGTGTCTTACGCGTTAAACGATAGTCGTGACGGTATAATATGTTGGGATATTTTAACAAACACCGGGGCAATCTGTCAAGGGTTGAAGGTTACTACGAGCAATACGGGGAACAGACCACTATTAAAAAATGTTACTCAAACGATGAAAACCGCGTGCCTGGCACGTCGGTCGTGCGTAAGCTCGAGACCAACCGGCAGTGTTCGGTGGTCTTATTCGTCGTCATTAATACGCCTTTGGAAATGCTCTCGTCCACAGTTTGCTAGAAACTGTGGCATAGACCAGACACATCTATTTTTCTTTTTTATTAAACAAAATTATTTTATGTAAAACCTAATATCTTTTAATATAGCCATTGCTCTCGAACAAAGAAGAAATGGAAATTTATATTTCATAAATGCATCTTCATTAGTTTCCGTGTTCTAACAGCATTCGTGTTCCATATTTTAACATATGTTATAATTTATTACATCTTTGCATATTCGATAGATAAATTCAAAACTTAAAATTTACGCGCAGCAATTTCGAAAATGTTTCTCATATTGTGAGATCCCGGAGGGCAATTAATTACTTAGGTTAATTGTAACACGTATAGAGACGCGGTTCCCCATGCAGCGATACCGTATCTTATTCTAGATTCGACGAGAGTGTGGTACGGCCGTTTCGAGAGTGATGTGCTTAAAAAAGCTCGAATTTTTTTATTTATCCCGGTATACTTTGCCGGGGAAAGTGCAACATCGTCTATATGTTTATTCCAGCGCAGTTGTCGTCAAAAGTTACGCCCAAAAACTTAATAGCATTTACTTTTTCTATGTTATTTTAATTTTTAGGTGATGCGGAATGATTATTTTATTCCTATTCTGTGTTCATTTCAGTTATCGGGGAAAATTTTCCGAGTTGGAATGACGAATGTTTGTCCTTTTTAGAAAAATTCAGTCGAAAGATCAATACGTAAGGTTACCGCGTGTAAAGCAGCCAAGTCGAATAAATTTATACATTTTATGTCTTGAAAATAGAAATAAACGTAAAAAATTACACTTCCCGTAAACATTGCATTAAAAAAATGAAATAAAAATTTTAAAAAACCGCACATTTTTTGTTAAAGCGTGTAGTAGACGATGATATTTTGAATGTAAAAGTTTCTCAATTTTATATAAATAAAAATTTACCATCGTTTTATCTAATGTACTCCGTATGTTGTTGAATTGTTAATGTTAGTTAATTGCGCAGAACTTTCGTATCGATGACCGATTAATTCCCACCGGTGTCCGTATATTCTTCCTTATTCTCGAGAACAATGTTACGTACGTAAAAGTCGAGACTAGATATTGAAAGCTTCGGGACAGGAGCTCCCCATTAACTATATACGAACTTTTGGTCTAAACCAGAAGTCGCGTTATTTCCATTCAAAACTTTTTCTACAACGGTCAGTTAGATGACCGGTCTGATTCTACCGTTACCGGGAAAAGTATGGTGTACCGGGCATTACAGTACACACTACTAAAATAGACAGCAAATATTTCAAATTAACTAAATTTGAAATATATCTTTCTTTTCTTGCCATACAAAAACAAAGTGACCGGACTACGGCACGATCATTTAACGAAAGCGAAAGAAAAAGTGAAAGGTGAGAAATGATAGTCTCTACTTTCGTTCGCTGGCTTAAATTTATCGCGAGAAATATACTCGCTGGCATTTCGATGGCTGTAGCTGAAGTCTTAGCAAACGCTTACGTAAGAGAAAACTTTTTCATATATTTTTCTTACAGTGCAAGCGAACAAACCACACGAATAGTTTTGGACAAAAATGCAATTGTGGGCGCTATTATATAAAACTGCCGAAAATTTGAACGAGCCGAAACTTTTCTCGAAGGGTGGGCGAACGATCAGAATTAATTACAGGTAACCCCCGTATAACACGGCACTTCTATAGCACGGATTCGCTCTAACACGGTTCGAGAATTGGTACCATCCCCCGTATAACACGGTACTTTTATAGCACGGATTCACTCCGACACGGTTCGAGAATTGGGTAAAACCCTCGTACAACAGGAAATGTAATAAATTTTTACATACTTAACTAATAATAGTTCACGAAAATTATTTTCGTGAACTATTAGTACTTAAGTATGTAAATTTTCTCTTTTCGCCTTCTGTCGATACAGGTGGTCCTTCTCGAAACTTGTTTCAATGTTGCCAGATCGCGACGCTTCTGCTTCTGATGTTGCCGAATGTTTTTCCCTTATTCCATACTTGCTTTATTCTTCATAAGTGCTTAGCACCATATAAGGAAATTTATAAAGACCTTTTAACTAGAAGCAAGCAATATAAAATTACATACATTTTGCAAAAGGTAAAGCATGGATCTGAAGATAATGCAGAAAAATGCTCAGAGGATAAGGATAACTTGCCAAAAAGAAAACGCTCTCGGTTAATTAATAGTGTTTTTAATGATGACGAAGAAAATATTGTTTAATTTATATTAATATGTATCACTCAAAAAAATTTTAATGAAGATATTTATCTTAATTATGAAAATATACTAGCATGATTTTTAATTTTTGGAACCTAACCCTCCTTTTCGTATTAGTTCTTTGTTTCGTATAACACGGATTCGCATAACACGGCAATTTTTTGGAACGTAACTACCGTGTTATACGGGGGTTACCTGTACTTTGAGGAAAACGCAATTGAGGGACTCGCTTCACACACCTAATTTACAATAGTAATAATCCGATGTAAATTTATATTTGTTTTCACTCTTTTTACGTTTATATCAATACATCGGTATACGATGTCAGAAGATTCGGAGCTTCTACAATAAGTATGAAAGTACTCGGTTATTAGAAATTAGAAGAAATTAAAACGTCAAAGTTTTAATTACGAGTCTTACGGTTAGAAGGATAAGCGTAAAAGCCTTCTCCAACCGAATTTCTTTCGTTTCGTTTTATTCACGCTACGTGTAAAGATTAAAGTCAATATCGACTGGAGAAAAGATAAAGAAATATATTGGTTCCGGATTCCGATGACAGGGATACGTTTTTATCCTCTCCATCGTACGTTGATGATGAAAATTTATGTAATTCGAAAATAAAAAGACAAGGACTAGGTACACGTCGACGGGACTGTCTGGAGTCGCCCTTCTTTACCATTGGATTAAAGACAGAATTTAGTCCATTTCACTCTTTGAGGATATTATATCCGGATCCGAATTGGATATATTCCAACTTGTAATTACTCAAAATAACATCTCTATTATTATTGAAGAAACAATACTGTAAATACGGGTGGGTGTAGAAAAATTTATTACTTGTATATCCTATTAGAGAAGATGGTCGGAGGAAAATAATTACATATTTGCCAATAATGCAAGCCGACGGAAATTATTAGTAAAAATTCTATAACTTATTATTGGAGTAGTGAGCCAAAAATTCTCACATGAAATTGATTTCTGTTGCTCCCTAGAATGCTTCATTTTGTCAATCCTCTATTGGAAAATTTAAAAGTCTCCCGGAAAAGGAATTTCTATTGCCATAAAAATTTACAATACGCATTGATGACTCAGCCTTTCGAACAACGATTTGGAATGAAACGATTCGTATCGGCTGACTGTAAAAGCTATTTTATTGCAGACCAGCGAATGAGCCCGGCAAACGATTTGGTAAATATTGTACGTTTGCAAATTCAGTTATTACACAGGTTTTCGTGGCGAAAACTTGAACGGCGTTTGGTACATCGCGCGTGGTGAGTAGAAGATCGGTTTAAACATCTTCATGTTTTGTGTTTGGGGTTGAAATAATAGAGGTTGCGGCGCAAGTACAGTACAAACACGGCAAGCGCAAGTACACGGTTTACGTTTTAAATCCGAGAAAAAATCGTTGGCAACATCACGTGACTCGACTGATGGGAAATTTGTTGAAAAAATGGCGGATACGTTAACGTCGAGGGTTACCGGCGAAGATAAATAAACAAATTAAACTATTTTAAAGTACTTATAGCATGTTTAATAACACTACAGTAATTATTTTTAATTAGCGTGGTGTCTCCTAGCGTACGATAGGACTACCTCATACCTTTGTCGGGGGACGCTGTAGTGACTTATGTAAATCCGAAAAATTTACAAACGTATTACGTTGTTGCTAGTAGATGCGGCGCAAGAACAAACCTACCTTAAAATAAGCTATTATGAAGGCAAATATATGTAAATTCTACATCACTCGCTAAAAAATTGAATAATTAAATAATTTATGAATTAAAATCGTCTGTTTCTTTATAATATTATTCGTAAATGCTTAAATAATCATTATTTTAATAAAATAGGCCATAATTTTAACCCCAAATACAAAAAAATGAAGTTTAAACCCGTCTTCTACTCGCTATGCTACACGTAGCCAACACCGTTCACGTTTTGGGCCGAATACGACGGCCTCAGTCTCTCTAATGATTATTTAAGCATTTATGAATAATATTGTAAAAAATATTGACAATTTATTGGGAGTTCGTAGATGGAACGACCACCAGAAACGCATCAAAGGGTGGTATTCCGTGTCCATAAACGTACGCATTGTTTGAAACTTCAATCGGTGGTT